CCGTGCTAAATTGTCCCGTAGTGCCCAGGGATGTGCGGGTTAGGGTGTCTCTCTCTCTCTCTGTCTCCCTTTCTGAAGGGGTCATTTCTAACATGTCAAGGAGGCAAATCAAACATTTGCCCTTCGTTGCGAGAGGGATGGCGTTTAGAAGAAGTTGGGGAGGGGCATGCCTCTGTGTCCAGTTTTGGTCTCTTTACTTGGGAAAGGATGGGCTGGGCCCTGGGGGAGGTGGTGGGGGGCAGTGGGGAAGGAGGGGGGTTGGCGTGGAGGAGGTTAATTTCAGAGTTGAGAGTGGGCAGAGTTTGTGTAGGATGAGACTGCACTCATTGGGATTTCGAAGGATAAGATCTTGCCGAAACGTAGAAAATTACGAAGGGAATAGATCAGATGGAAGCAGGGAGGCTGTTTCCACTGGTGGGTGAAACTAGAACAAGTTGGTGTCGGGGCGGTGGGTGGGCATGGCCTCAGAATAAGATCGGGCCGAGTCGGGAAGCGAAGTCTTCATCCAAAGTGTCGATGGGATGTTTTAAGGTGAAGGTAGATTACATTTTTAAATGATAAAGGGACGAAGAGTTGCGGTGATCCATGAACGGGGGAGCAGTATTGATGGGCCGAATGGCCTTGTCCTGCTCCTATTTCTGGCGTTCTAACTGTTTCTCTCTCTCTCTCTCTGTCCGTGCAGAATGTGAGGATTTGATACGTCGGTGCCTCTCCTCAGATTCCCGTGACCGGCCCAGCCTCGAGCAGATCCTGCAGCACCCATGGGTTCAGTGGGACGCGGGGAGACAGACACCAGGGTTTCGGGTCCAGGGGGGCGGTGGCGACCCTGACCCCTGCCAGGAAGGCCGGTGAGGGGGCCGCTTGGAGAAGCAACGGGACGTTCTGTTTGTCGGCGCCTCCTTGTGGAAGCAAGGGAGGGCGGAGGTGCCAGGAAGTCACCATCCTGGGACAGCGAGAGATCGCCAGGACTGGAGGCGGGGGGGTGGGGGGGCACCCTGAACAGACTGGAGCTCGTGACTATGGGATCCTCACCGCAGAGGGCAAAAGACCTCCGCCGCCCCCCCCCCCCCCCGCGCCGACCCCCCGCCTCCGTAGAAATGGGCGAATCGGTTGGATATCAAGAACGTGGGCACAAACACCAGGGAGTGAGGTGTTTGAACGAGAGAGAGAGAGAGAGAGTGATTGCTCCCACAGTCGAGCAGCCGTCTGGAAATGTGAATACTTGGAAATGGGTGCAAGAGGCAGATTTGATGTAACGTTTAAAATATCAGACTGCCCTCGGACATGCAGGAGCGTTGTTTTAACTGTGTAAATACTTGTATAATATAAACCATTTCACAATTGGACCGTATCAGACCTCAGTCTCTCTTCGGGAGGGTTCGTTTGCTGAAGTTGGGTGGGGGGGGGGGGGGGGGGGGGGGGTGGTGTGGGAGAGGAATTTATTGCTTGGCTCCAGAACTACCCTCACCCCAATGCTCTCGTTCAAACAAACCGGGGATTGTACGAGCCGTTTATTAGAGTGGAACGCACACTGCAGTTCAATAGCTCGGGTGGGGTTTTTGTTCAGGAGGGGTGGGGTAAGGAAGCCAGAAGGGTCCCCCCCCACACTGAGGTTTGCACTGACGCAGGCCAGTGTCGGCAGGGAGCTGGGCAGACGTCCTGTCGCGGTGCGACGCACGCTGCGGGCGAATGGCCGGGGCACCGAGGACGGGGAGGTGGGGCAAGGGGAGGACAGCAAATCCCGGAAGGGGTCTCTCCGCTGTGGCGACGGAATCAGTTTCATGTTTTAAGGTCAAAACCCTGTCGTAGGAGGCCATTCAGCCCCCCTCCCCGAGCCTGTTCCACAGGAACAGGAGGCCATTCAGCCCCTCCTCCCCGAGCCTGTTCCACAGGAACAGGAGGCCGTTCAGCCCCCCTCCTCCTCGAGCCTGTAACACAGGAACAGGAGGCCGTTCAGCCCCCCTCCTCCTCGAGCCTGTTACACAGGAACAGGAGGCCATTCAGCCCTCCTCCTCGAGCCCGTTACACAGGAACAGGAGGCCATTCAGCCCCCCTCCTCGAGCCTGTT